TATATGATACATATGGTATCTTATATATGGACATTTTTCGTATATGAGCATATATGATTATACATATATGATCATATGTGAAAATTTTTTCCCGGGTACTTTTGCAGTAAAGATATTTTTGTAGAGATTATACTTTTGCAAAAAAGATAGAGTAACAAAATATATTCGGTTGAATTGTTCTATCTACGACAAAATTGTCCGTACCACCTAAATTATTATTTATGTATTATCTATTAACTTATTTATATATTTTTACTCGTTTTATCTTTTTGTTCCTCCCCGACACTTTTATTCTAATTTATTTTTATTTTACTTTATTTTAATTCGAGGACCTGAACTCTATCGATGACTTTCAATGTATTATTTATTCATTTTACTAGTTTATCTTTTTGTCCCCTCCTGACACCTTTATTTTATTTTATTTTATTTTGACGACCTATTATACCTGTTCTAAACAGTTCGCTTTTAGACTTATGACTAGACGTATCTATCATTGTGCGTGTTAATATAACTTTTTATTTCAACGATTTTTAATATTTATAACAATGTATATGTACTACTACAATTTATTTCCATACCTATTTATTCGACGACAATTATTGACAATCACTGTGTTCCGGATAAATGAGGGAAATTCAGCTGAAAAGAAAGAAATTTAAATTCGGAAACTTAATTTAGTCAAATTGGTATTTCTTTTTATTAATTACATGAATGTTGAAACTGTTAATTAAATAGCAGAATAAGAAAGAGAAAAGATGAAAACAGAATCTTATTTTAATTTATTTCAGATTTGTTATTGAAGATAGTATTTTGTAGCGGGAAATTGAAATTCCAAAAAAGATCAATATATATATTATCGTGATCGAGATTTGAGAATTTGGCGACCATAAACAGAACTTAAGATAACGGTTTTATACCGCCTAGTTACCTGGTTTTAGGTAGTCCAATAACGATGTACAAAAAATTGTCTTTTATCTTAGGTAGTCCAATAACGATGTACAAAAAATTGTCTTTTATCTTCCGAGATTTAGTTAATGCAGATAGTCCAGATTTTTTATAGTAGGTAGTCCAGAAATGCAGTAAAGAAATATCCTTTTTTCCTCAAAGTGATGTAGGATTACCTTAGGAAAAATCGGTACAGGACCGCTTTCGAGAACGGTCTTAAACCGCCTTAGAGAACGGTTCGAAACCGCCTTAGAGAACGGTGCGAAACCGCCTTAGAGAACGGTGCGAGACCGCCTGAGAGAACGGTGCTTAACCGCCGTAAAATTACGGTACAGAACCGCCTCAGAGAATTGATTTCTCCTTTTTTTTTACTTAACTTGAGAACACTATTAGTCCAGTTCGTTTTCGTTTTTCTAACTAGAGAACTGTTGCTAAGATAAACAAACATATAAAAGAAAATCAAAAAGAAATAGCTAGCGCCTCACTCGTTCTTCTTCAAAAAAATATCGCTAATTGCTTGAAATTGCGCGCGAGTTTTAAAACTTTAATTGTATATATATCTTTCAACACACTGTAATTCTTATGTACCATGACACGTTTCTGCGCCGTAAGTAAACTCACGTCCTCTCTCTAACACTTTGTTTTACTTGTTTTAATTGTAACTATATAACTTTTAGATCTCTTGCTGTAACATTTGATGGATGTAACGTAATTTTATACTTGAAAAGGACCAGTATTACTGGTCGAAACGTCGTATTTTTATTAAATAAAATTATTTGCCAGCATATGTCGTTTTAATTCTGAGTATTTTTTCTTACAAGACAACTTCACGCTTAAAATATTTTATTATATAAAAAGTACATACAAATATCCCATAACACAAAATCTTCAAGAAATGTCTGTAGAACGTCCTATATTCTAAGGATGTTTCTTGAAAGCTGCATAGGAATGTATTTGTGTATTAGATTTATTTTCTTTGTATTCATGTGCAATGATATTTGTATGCAGTATTTTCTTCAGCTATAATAATGGAGGAAATTGCGAAAAGACGAAAGTTAGGTACAGTTGCTCTTCTTCTCATAATAGAAAGATATCTTTTAACTAAAATATTAACCCAACACTTAAGATAATCTGCACATGTGAAACCAACAATAGTAGCACTCTTATAATTGGGACACGTAGAACGCTTCGTTAAACAGCACGCAACGAATCAATTAACAAATCTAGTAGGAAAAATAGTAACCGTGTGCCGTTGGCTTTACATAGTCATTAAAAGCATATTCAGGTTATTGAGTTTAGCCATGATCCAGACAACTCGCTCCCGCATCGTATCGGCTCGCCTTTTATACTAATACGGGACGATTTTGACTTACGAGAAAGACTAACGCGCGGTCGCCACGTCGCGGCAGTATGTGGTACTAGTGCTATTTATTCAGGAGGGGATCAGGCGTACCAGATCAGGCACATGTCTATATTCCGCGTATATCCCATGCACATACGAGAAATAACGTACTACTAAGATATTATTCGAATGTTCTCAGTTTATCCTGTATTATCACAGAACATTCAGTATGAGTACAGAATATTCGAATGATATCATGTACTGTGTGTGAATGCATTAGTAGATTTTATGCTATTCTTTCTTATCTGTAAGTCACGGATCATGGATGAGGAAAAACCACGCCGGGGCATTTCGTGACGCGAGTAACCGGGACAATTCGTGACACGTCGCTTTTCATGTTGATAAATTTCTATTTGTTTTCAGTCGGTTATGGTGCGCAATTACGTTCGCAAGACAGCTGCTGCTGACAAGGAAAATCTCCGAAAAGCAGTTTTAGCTGTAAAAAATGAAAACTACTCAGTGAGACAAGTAGCAATACACTTTAATGTCGGAAGGATGACCTTGCATCGTCAATGTGCCTCTATTCCAAGCAATCCCTGCCACCACTAGACGTGACAGCGACGTTCTACATTGGTCACAAAGTCGCAAAAAAATATGATACGTCTTTTACACGTTGCCACGACGTAACGTACAAAAGAATTTAATTAGCTGTCTGTCGAATTTTTTGTAATTTAGTGGTTAGTATCTTATATAAAAATTAATTGAAATAACATGTAACTTATTTTTAACATAGAATTAAAAACTTTAACTTGTTACGTCGCAGAGACGTAACAAAAGCGACGAGGTGACCAATAAATTTACAACTCTTATGTCCCTCTTCGAACCAACAACTTTCGTCTGAAACATTTCTTTCTAAAATGCATATAGTTTATGAAATATTCGACCGTTTCCAGACTTGTGGTATATCTTGTATATGTATAGAATATATTTTAATTTTCACACTTACATGCGTTTACATTTCTCACACATAATAATAATAACTCTTTATAATATTTCTTTAAGAGAGAGACTGTTCATTTTAAAAATAATAACCATATTTTTCATTATGTTGATACTTTTGATAATTTATGATTTAAGAGTTACGTTTTAAAAATAATAACCATATTTTTCATTATGTTGATACTTTTGATAATTTATGATTTAAGAGTTACGTATTTCGATAAATTTTATTAACATTGACTGCGAAAGAGATAAAAAAGGAAAATAAAAAAGCTAAATGTAACATAAAAATATATATAATATATATGTATAATATTTTTACATCATTCTAATTTATTACCTCTTTTCTCAGTGTTCTATCTATATTATAAAACATAATCGTCCGATTTTGAGAAGTTGAGATTAGTTTTTACTGTGTTATATATGTAATAAACAATATTGATAGGCAAAATACATTATGATTATTGTTGCGGAACATACAAAAAAAAATCTGGAACGCCTCCGAGACGCGTTAAACCGCGCGCTTTCGGTTCTTGTCACGCACCTCAATACTTCTCATTCGCGGCCGTCTTCGTTGCTCGAGTGCGCTGTGTGCCAATTTGGATCTGTCGCGCACCCCCCGTTTAAGCGGATCCGTGCCGATAGATCCTTTAGGCAAAAAGTCTGAATCCGGCCTTTGGTGACGACGCATACCTTCTAGTTAGTGAGATTCGAGCTTCGCGTTGAAGATAAACTTCGTTGAGCCTCGACAGAGACTCCTTTCCGCCGATCATCGGCAAGTATTGTACCGGATCGCGCCAGCGATATTATCGGTCCGCCTAGCGAATTATTGTCGACGTCGCGACTTTTTTCGGCCGCGAGTTCAGCACGTACCAGCCACGTGATCCGACCTTCTCCTTTGACCGAAGGCTCAGCCAGACAATATATCGAGGGAATGGTGGATCGCGCGTTCGCGAGCGGAGCTTGATCGCTGCGAGTTCACGATATCTCCGTCGCGACAAGATTTCCGTCGTGTTAGGAACTCACATCGAGTTCCAGAAGAAGATTTCCGTCGCGGTTCGCGCGCAGCTGTGACTATCAAGCGTCAAGATTTCCGACCGTTCCGTTTCATTTTACGCCACCGTTCCGACCTCAAACTCAGCTGTTAAGTGTAATAAAGTTTATCTGGTGGTTCTCAACGGTAGTTTTACAGTCAAATCCCTTCTTCCCCTCCATTCCCGATTAAAATTAAATCAACCTAGTGCATTCCCAAACAATTATACTTATTGTGACAGAAATTTTAACAGATGTTATATATTTTATTTAAAATAAAATATAATTTGTCTGTTTAAATTTTTGTCACATAAATAATATAATCACTCATTTTGTCTCTCCAATATATAAAGATATATGTATATAGTTTACATACATAACACAGTACAAACTAATTATTAATCTTAATTTTAATCTTAATTTTAATCTAAATTAATCTTAATTTCTCAAAAACTGATTGGTCATTTTCAGGTCGCAAATAGGTGCTCAACTCATTACATAAAGTCGCAAAATACACGTCACTACAACGTTTCTATCACCAAGAATTTGGCCGTTAGTTACGTGACAGTGACGTGGCAGTTACGTTTTAAACACCAGTTGAGACGTCGCTGCAGCGTTACGTGTGACGAGTTAGCACGTCATAGTGACGTTTTTAACACGTGTCTGTGCTGGCAGGGACGTTCAGGAAAACGTGACGATTTCTCGTCCTGGAATGCGACCGGTAATAATAAATCGATTAATAAATATACAATATATACAATAAACAATGAATACATAAATAAATTAATGATTAAAACAAATAAGAATAAAAATACAATTCTTTTAGATTATGAGTGCCAATCATGAAAAAGCGTTGGTGAATTATGTTTTACATGCATCGGACATTTATTTCGGACTCTCGCCAAAGGATTAAGTTCCCCAGTCAGAAATATCTCGTCGATCGACGTCGAAACGACGTCGTATGGACATCGAAACCGTCATATTGACGTCGTTCGACGTCGTTTCGACATCGAGTTGACGAGTCATTTCTGACTGGGTCGTAAATTAGCTTACGAATACGGAAAACGTCTTGACTTGTCAGTGCCGCCTTCCTGGGACGAACGACAACTCGCTGGAGAGGACTGGTTTTCAAAATTTTTGAAACGCCATCCGTCTCTTTCAATTCGAAAACCGCAATATTATTTTTTTTTACAGTAAATTTCACAGAAAAAGCAAAAAGTGACTACTAGAAGTTAAATGATATTACATTGATAACAGCCCCGGTGGTCGAGCTGGCTAAGACGCCCGTCACGGATTGTAGGGAGGTCCCAGGTTCGAATCCTGGCTGGGGTAATATTTTTCGCAATAAGAATTTTAATTGCCAGACACGGTCGACAAACCGATGTTATTAATTTATTAAATGATATATTGATTAACACGATTTTAAAGTGTTTTGCATGAAGATGTTTCTTAAACATCGTAAACAATAATTATTGTTAGAATTTATTAGGTGAGCTATACGTTCAGTAGACTAGTTCGACTGCATGACACTTGGATAGGTTAAGTGATAAACGCTAAAAGAATTAACGTTCCATTCGATTTTTGAGTGTTAATTTTTTTCATTTTTGAAATGAGTGAGGAAGAGCTACGACGTGTGCGAATACGTGAATTAACACGTTTACGAGTGTCAGAACATCGAAAAAAACTGAAAAAATATGTTTTTGAAAAGCATCGTGGAATTGACAATATCTTACTAGAAGAAATGCTAAGTGATGATGAATCAAGTGTATCAGTGGAAATACAAAATAATTCAAATTCAGAAGACTCTACATGTATAATGCCGAAAATAACGATGATGGAGGATCAAAAGTGGAAGAAGATTCAAATATAACTTGTAATATTGATGAAACGATTGATTTTGTTGGAGCAGATAGATATAACGAGGGAATTGAAAACGAGGACAATGAAAGTGATGAGAACGAAGACTTTGGAGAAAATGAGAATGAAGAGCAGAATGATGTAGAGGTGGATATTCGCGAAGCCAGTATCGTGGAAGGTGATTTTTCTGATTCTTCTGAATATTACGAAACAGAGGTTGAAGAACTTCGAGAATGGGCTTTGTCAGGGAATCCCACGATTCCTCATACTCGTTTAGAAGCTTTGCTCAAAATTTTAAGACGTCGATTATTACCTCAACTACCAAAATGTGCTAAAACTTTCCTCGGGACTACGACAGCAAATTATAACATTCAAAAATTTAATAATGACGAAGGAAGTGAGTTCATTTATTTTGGTGTCACTAATCATCTTGAACAATCCATCGACCCAGACTTGCATGAGGGAAATACAATCTATCTAATAATTAACGTAGATGAGGTGCAATTGTTCCGGTCAAGCTCCAAACAATTTTGGCCTATATTGTGCCAAGTCGAGAACTGTGAGAACACTCCTTATGAACCTGTTCTAGTTGCTATTTATTCAGGTAACAAAAAACCTGATAACTTGGACAAATTTTTGGAAGATTTTATAATATTAATGAAATTAATAAATTAGATCAAAATGGATTATTGGTAGATAATCGTTTATTCAAGATTTGTATTAAGGCATTTGTTTGTGATACTCCTGCACGTACCTTTTTGAAAAAAGTCAAGGGTCACGGAGCCTATTGGGCATGTGAAAGATGTACAGTGCGGGGAGAGTGGGTTCAAAATCGAGTCATTTATCCTAGTGACGATTCTGAAGAGAGAAATGATGAGTCCTTCCGTCAACAAACTAATTCCAGTCATCACACTGGTGTATCACCTTTACTCAATATTAGACCACCTGTAAATATGGCTTCTCAATTTGTCCTTGATTTTATGCACCTTGTATGTCTGGGCATAATGAAAAAGCTATTAAATTATTGGTTGCACAGTAAACTAACACTAAAATTAAGTCAAAGAACTCAAGTGTTATTATCAAAACGTTTGATAAGATTGCAGTCTCAAATACCTGAGGATTTTCAGAGAACAAGATCTTTAGTGGATATTGATAGATTCAAAGCTGTTGAATTTAAATTTCTACTTTTATACGCTGGGCCAGTAATTTTTAAAAAAATTGTGCCTGAACAAATTTATAACCATTTTTACTCCTGCACACTGCTTGTAGAGTATTATGTTCTAAAGAAACAGCTTTACTAAATTGTGATCGTGCTAAAGTATGGCTCAAGACCTTTGTTAAATTATCAGCAACATTCTATGGAAAAAGTTTGATAGGGAATATGCACTATCTCATCCATTTAGTTAATGATGTAGATTATATAGTTTTAAACGTGGTGGGGCGATGATTGGAGTGGGGGCATGCCCGCCAGCTGGGCGCCCGCGGACGCCCGTTGCCCGTTGGAGTAAGGGCATGCCCGCCGGCTGGGCGCCCGCGGACGCCCGTTGCCCGCGGTTTAGACAATTTAAGGTAAATGTACCAATATGGAACCACTCAAGGAACCTCCTCCCTTCAACCTTGATTAAAAAGAATTATTTTAATAAATAATAAGGATAAC